CCGTGCCAAGTGACAAGGCAGCAAGTCGCTGCTGTGCCACCTGACCTCACGTGCTTGGCCCCCCCTTTGACAATTAACACCCAGACAGCCCCGTCCTCAAGGTGACTCTGTGGCTCTCCCCTCTGTGTCCTCTCTGAGCTTATTTTGACAAACCTCCTTCCAATTTAATCCAAATAACCGCCGAGTTTCTTCTCTGAACTCAGAAAGCATCACAGGATCAGGCTGGAAAAGACCTCTGGGATCACTGAGTCCAACCTGTGACCCCAGACACCACCAAGTCCCCCAGCCCAGAGCACCCAGTGCCACGTCCAGTCCTTCCCTGGACACCTCCAGGGTCAGGCAGAGGCTCAGAGCAACTGGAAGCAGTGGATGAGACACATTTGCACATTCCAGCACCATCCCTTGAACCAATTTCTGTGCATTTAGTTTCCTTTAATAGGAGCTTAGTTTGAATAGCTGCAAAAAGCCACCAGACTTGGCAGAAGAGACACCAAACAAGTGGTGAGAAATGCTGCAGAGAATCCCTAAAAGTAAAGGATTGACTCTGGGAGCAAGAGGGAAAATAAAGCAGGAGCCAAAGGACAGCTGAGGGACCCTGGAAGGTCTCACCTGAGCAGAAAAGCAACAGGTGCTCAAGAGCAGCCACCAAACCCACAAAAAAAAAGCTTTGAGAAGGGAAAGAAATGAGAAAGTAATAAAATGTTGGTCATTCCCTCACGGGGAAGAGTTTGGGGATGAGTTTATTGTGGCACCAACTGGTTGTGTTGATTGGTCAAGGCTGTGCTGGGCACTGTGCAGATGCAGAATGGGAAGGAGCTTTCCAAAAAAACCCCCTAAGGATAAAGAGGAGGGAAAGAGCAGAGCCACCAGCACCATGGAATCAAACAAGAGCTCAGTGCCACCATCTCATTCTAAGGCCCAACCCGCTCAGTGACCACCTGCAGCTGGAAATTCTACCAGCAAAACCTGGGCATTTCAGCAAAAAGAGAGTAAACCCCTCCAGTTAAGAGCACAGGAATGCCAAGCCCCCCAGCAGCCTTACCATTGGCATCCTGCACGCCGGTGAGGGCTCCGACCGCCGCCGCCGTTTCTCCAGACAGGACAATCTGTCCCCCCCCTTGGAGAGTGGCTTCGGCCAGCGTGGCCACGGCGTGGGCAGCAGCTTCACTGTGGGCACGGAGGGCAGACAGGGCAATTAGGAACACCAAACCCACCAAACAACACCAAACCCACCAAGCAATCCCATTTGAACCAGGCAACCCACGTCAGGCGACATCCAGAAGGGAGGGATCCGCCCCGGGCCCGGGTGAAGCGGAAAATCTACACTGGAGGGGGAATTATGTGGGAAGAAGGTGGATCCAGTGGCTTTTTTGAGTCTGGAGGGGTCTTAGGATATCCCTGTCCTCTTACCTTTGCATCCTTTCACTTGGGGTTCACTAAAACTTTGGGACAACCCAAGCGGTTGTTCCGTGGGGCTCCCTCCTGCCTCTGCTTTCAGGTACAAAACTCATCCTTTTGGCACATCCTGGGGCTCTGCAGATTCCAGAGCTACTCCCTTCATCCCTGACCCTGCCAGGCCGTGCCCAGGATCACACCACCAGCTCTGCCTTTAACTCCTCCCCAGCCAAGAGGTTTAATGATGCTTTTTAACGAGCGTTGTTTGTAGCACAGGGTTGTTTCATGTCCTCACACAAATGAGGCCGGAGCAAAGAGCCTTCTCATGGAACAACCCTGCTGTGGGAACAGCCAGTGGCAGATATTTGGGAAGGAGTGTGGATGATCCTTTCCTTCCTGCACCCTCCCAGCTTCCCAGAGGCTGCATCTGCACTATCAGCTTGGATTCGTCTGATCCCCTTGGAAACCCCTTTACACTTTTTGTTTCTGCAGCATCTCGGAGCAACAAATCCCACATTTAATCAGAAGAAAAACTGAATTAGGGTTCTGCACAAAGTCCTGCCTCAGCCCTTTGGCCTGGTACTCTGCTTTCCTCACAATTTCATAGACTTCCAGTAATCCCCTTCCCAAGCTGAAGAGGACTGTGGAATGGATTATTCCTGGGGTTTGATCACTCTTGTCCTTCCCAGACTTTTCCTGTTCAAGGGGAGCGACCACTTCTCACACTATTCCAGATGGAGATGCAACAAGTTAGTCCTGGCTTGTCCTTTGGGCCTTCCCCTCTAATGCCCAATATTCAACTTACTTTTTCAACAGTATCTGCTCGGCAGTGATTAAAAATCCCTGCCATGGGTCAGTGTGGCCCTGGCAGTGCTGGGGGATGGTTGGACTCCGGGGGCTCCGAGGGCTTTTCCAACCAAAACAACCTCACAATTCCTATGATTCTACTGCAGAAAGGCATTTGAGAAAACCCTCCAAAAACCTTTAGGAGAAACCCCACAAACCAAGGCTGTGGAGGAGCCTCTGACC